GGCTATCTCCGACATAGGGAATAAATGTTAAATTGGTTTGACTTTGGTAAAAGTCTAAATTGGTTTGACCGGTGGTCAAAGAGTCAATGGGAAACCCGTAACACCTAAATCGTTTTGAAAAGAAAGAAAATAAGTTGACTGTTGGTCAACCGTCTAAAGAACCAAGTGTAAAGTTGAATTGATTTTTATTAAAAGGATAAACATATGCACGATCTTAATTGTTGAATTATTATATTTATTCTTGTGCTACAATGGAGTACCACTCAGCGTCAATGCTGAGCGGATAGCGTTGTTTTCTTTTGCTGTCCGTAGGTGATCACACAGATGAACCTAGAGCCGATCCCAGAGGGCATTGAGGAGGAGATGTACGATGGCGTGGCTGTCTCTTTAATCTGTTGATTATGTTTTATTTGATTAACTTTAATGCTTATTACGTTTTCGGGCAAGATCCCAAGTTGTTTGACTTTAAAAAGGCTTCCGCATTATTTTAAATTACTCCGATGAATTTTTATATGTATTGATAGAACGTTTGTTTAAAATTTGTTTTGAAAATGTCGCAAATTTGGATACCAATTCAGTAGCACACCGGTCCGCTGTCTCACGGGTTTGGGTCATGCGGGTTGGGGTGTTACATTTAATCCCCTTGTTGATATCCACCCATTTACACCAGAAAACAAGAATTGTGAAGTTTGTATATTCGAGTTCCCATATATCCTCGATCAAGCCATAGTATGTTTTGTATGACCGGATCAGTGTCGAATCTTTACCCCTAGGAGTGTGTAGGGAAGAATCATTTCAACCTCAAAATTGTGGATGTCGTGAATATCATCTTCGACTTGTTCATTATGAGTATAGCTAGAGCTGCAAGGATTTTCTAACTCTCCATGCCATTTCCATTGCAGTTATGTTGGGTCAAAAACCCTGCGATATACATGTAATCTTATATCTTTAACGCTATCAACCATAAAATGTTTGTGACATAAGTTAAAAGGACAATGTATCTTTTTATCTTCTTTTGAATGTTTCTCTACGAAACGAATAAACTTTTCCAACCCAGAACTAAACTCAGTTGATGTACGCGACATATGAATCCAACTTCTATCCATCATATGAATTGCTAATAAACAAGAAAGAAGGGCAAATGATTGATACATGCAAAACAAAATTATTAATACTCATTTTGTATATACACACAAACATATAAGAGATACATGCAACACAATATTTTATTTCTTATGATGTAACAAAAATCCGGTAGCACTTCTTTATTATACGAATGGTCCTTCTTTACACCATCCTAACTCATTCTTGAAATGCCACCCTTAATAGTAAATGTATTTCATTTTCTTTGACCTATCAAAATTTTGGCAGCATTTCCCAATGGTTCTCCAAGTGCACGATGTAAGGTAATTACATATGCACCCGAAGAACACATTTAGGAAACATCAAACTAAAAAATGACAGAACAAAGAAAAAGAAATACATTCACTACCTAAGTGAGAGAAGCATTTCAAGAACAGCTCCAAATCGGGAGCTATTTAAAATTTACTCCTAATGATTAAATTTTAAACGGGTATCTAGGTCGGTCAATATATGTTATTTCTATATTATAACATCTCAGATCATGTAAAATCAAACACAAAGTAATTAAACAATTTATATTTCAAACGCAATCTATATCACAATGTCATATAAACATAAACACAAAAGCAATTCAAATATATAGTAAATAAAGAAAATACATTGAAATAAATTTAGAATTATATTTACCACTTAAAATAAAAATATATTCACCTAATACAAAAATATATAAATAAATAATGGTATAATTATGAATTTAAAGAAAAATATCAAAAAAATACCTTAAAGTTTGACGGCGGAGGGATGACGGCAGAAGGGGTGGCGGCAGAGTGACGACAAAGGGATGGAGGCACGGGATGGGGCGGATTGAAGGGTTACGAGCAGCGGCGAGGTTCTTGGTGTTCAATCAACTTCAGCGCCACCAGAAACACCCATTTTGGCCACGACGAAGTGTTGGCAACGAATGGTTCGCGGTAGGATGCGGCACAACGAAGAGATGACGTCAGCGAGGGATGGCACCAGCGAAGGGTGGAAGTTGGCGTGGTGGCGTCGGCAAAGGCTGGCGTCGGTGAAGGGTGGAAGTTGGCGTGGTGGCGTCGGCAAAGGCTGGCGTCGGCGAAGGCACGGTGAAGGGTTTGGACGTTTTTTTCAAAATCGCATATGGATAAGAATTTTGAGGTTGAATATAACGACCCCGTTTGAATCGGTTATCCTTAATAACCGATGTAAAAGGTTATTTGCATCGTTTATTAAGGATAACCAATTTAAAAGGTTAAAAGCATTTGAATCGGTTATCCTTAAAAACCGATGCAAATGTAAAGCGCTACGCGATTTTTTTTTCTTTTAAATGTTTGTTTTGCTTAGCGATGCAAATGAGGAGATTTATTTGGTCTTTTTTGTAGTAGTGATGTAATGTCACTCTTCTAGGATCTACTGCCAAAAACTAAAGTTCATGTCACTTGCTGCTTTCAAATTAGCATGAGCAGCACGTAAACCATGATCCATACTTATAAAAGAGCAACTGACGAGAGGCTTTAGCAAAAGGATAGGTATATCACTGTAAACTCAAACATAAGACGTATCAATCAGTCAAATCAATAGTATCTTTGTCCTAGTGTATTTGTCCAGTTTAACTTTTTCGAGTCAAATTAAACAAACTTTGAAAGCAAAGGAGCATGCATGTCGGTGGGATTGCCAACAGCTTGACATGGTTGTGTGCCCCCGCCTTGGCGTTCTATTTTGCAATAGTGTTAAGTTACAAGTAGGGATGGCAACAGGTCGGGTTCGGTTCGGATATACCCTTACCCGAAACCGAACCGAAATTTTGATCGGATATTTTTTTTTTGCCTGAACCTGAACCGTCGGGTATAAATTTCTACCCGAACCCGAACCCGACTGCCTAAACTGAAACCCGAAACCGCAACCGAACCCGAGAATTTGACAAAAACCTAAGCCTAACCCGACCTGAAAACCGACCGACCCGACTGACCGACCGACCGACCCGACCGACTGACCATACTAATATCCTAATAAATCAGTTTTTTGTAATGATTTTTATTAAAATAATGATAAAATAATAAATGCATGTAATGATATAATTAGAATTCCAATACATAAAAACATTTGAACGTTCAAAAACATCATAAAATTAAGATATTAAAAAAGATGTGTCCCAAATAACAACCAAAACATGGAAGTATAACAAGTTTTCACAAATATTTCACAAGAGAAACAACACACATAAATATAACAAGTTTTTACAAATATTTTTCAAGTCTGTACTGGTAACTCCCGTAAGCCAAAGACTTTTAATTGAAAAAGGTTTTTTTATATTTTAAAAAGGCCTTTTATTTCGGGTTAATTATCGGGTCGGTCAGGTACGGGTTGGGTCGGTCAAATTTAATTACCGAAAACCGACCCAACAAAAGTCGGGTTCGGTTTTAAAATCTTCGGGTCGGTGTCGGATATTTATTTTTTCGGTCGGATTCGGATATTATATACTTCGGTCGGGTCGGAAAAAGTCGGATTCGGATAAAATTGTCATCCCTAATTACAAGTCGTAATTAAGGAAGAAATTAAATGTATATGCATGTGAACGTGTGGAGCTAGTCGACGGTTGATTAGATCAAAGTCAAACTAGTAAAGCCATGCAATGCACATATATGGTCCAGTCCATTCAAAGGCGGCAGCCAACCCCATGTATGCAATGCCTATCACGTAGCTAGCCACGCACGCAATTGTCCTCTCATTTGACCAATCTTCTTCCATTATTGCCATGCACGTACCTTTATTTATGACTGCGCGCTATACTTACCTACCTCTTAATTGCTCATCCGCCCAAAATTTACACTTTAATTTTACATACTTTAAATCAAAGAAATTGAAAACTATATACTCCCCCTCCCTAAATAGATTAGAAATTGCGAGTTACGAAATAAAATTTTTTATTTTTTGAAATCATTTTATTTATAAATTGGTATATTAATAAAATATAAAAATTACATACGGAGTATTAAAAAACTAGGTCAGAAGTTCTACAAAACAAGATGTAACAAGAATATTTTATTTTATCAAATACTTAATGAAATCGCGTAAACAAACAAAAGTTATCGAGAAGATCGGAGAGAGACGGTGGGAGTAATTAAAATTTGTTTAGATAACCGGAAGAAGAAATCTTCCCATGCATATTGTTAGAGTATACATGTATAAAAATATTTTTGGGATCACAACTAGAAGCTTGAACTTTTGATTGAGTTGGATCCTTAACATACTATCAGAGTCTTCTGGAGCAAGAGGTCACGATCGAGTCTGAATTTTGAAACTCACCATAACTCAGTTTTACAAAAAAAAAATTAAAATTTCACGTGTAACTCAAAGAAGTCACACCTGCACATACGGGGGCGCGTTAGAGTATATAAAAATATTTTCTAGACCTCAACTAAAAGTTTAAACTTTTTGTTGAATTAATTTCTTGACACATTATATGTCTGCTTCATAGAGAGGAAAACTTGAAAATGGATAAAGTTTTGTTTGGGGGGATAAAAGACCGTATGTATATAGTAAGAGTATTATCTAATCCAACATTAATTTCCCACTACCTTCGTATCCCCAAATCGTAGGAGACGTGTACGGTGTATATATAAATATTGGAGTTTTTCATACTCGATCTCATGCTAATTATTACCCCCATGCCATCCACCTCTCCTCTTCTCTCCTTAATTAATTTGATCTGGTATTTCCCATTTCATTTTAATTAGTAATTAATTATTCTTTATTGATTGATTAGTAGTAATTAAGTAAATAAACAATGGGAAACTGTCTGATAACAAGGGGATCGTCGTCGTCGTCGTCAATGGTGTGGGCAGAGGATGAAGACGAGTGGGAATGGGTGTCAAAAGAAATGGTAATTAATACTACAGATAAAGACGGCGGCGGCGGCCGGCGACTGTCGTCATCTTCTTCGTCTTCCGACGGGAAGGTGAAGATCACGGTATCAAAGAAGCAGCTGTTGCAGCTGCTGAGAAAAGGGGATATTAATAAGGATTCTAATCATCACAACGCGGCGGCAGCGGAGGAGCTGCAGCTGTTGGCAAGACTGCTGCAGGGGGACGCCGCCACCGCGGGTGGTGGTGGTGATGATCCGGTGGTGACGTGGTGCCAGCAACGATCATGGAGGCCCTGTTTGCAAAGCATTCCGGAGCTTAATTAATTAATGGTGATTATTATAGTTATATATAATTAAATACTGGTTAGATCGTTGATTGGATTAGAATTAGTTGCTGGTAATTGTGTATATTTTTACTCTTACCGGCAGATTATTTTTATGTGTTTTGGTGAATTTCTTTCATACATTCATGTTTAATTAGGCGTTTATTTGTACTATTCCTTATGCTGCACAAATTCTTCACTTAATAAACATATTTCCTTTTTTTGTTACAACATATGCTCCGTAATATTTTATGATTCATCTTCATCCCTCTTTATAAAAGTGAAATTTGTGGTTTATCCTCCATTTTTTTGCTGAGAATTATCACTTCAGAGGCAAAAGCAGTTAAATACTTTTAGCATATATATATATATATATATATGTGAAAGTATATCCATCGGAGTAAACTTATGGTTTAAAAAATGAATTTCTATTTTTCTATGTAAAGTGATTAATTTTAACCGACGATACACTTCATGATTCTCTCAGTCCACCAAAATGTTAATATGTTAAAGAACTTACTCCACCAAAGTTTCAAACTTGTGTGTATAGTTTGTATATAGATCATGATTGATTTTTATATCTAACATGATATATATATATATACTTTACTACGAAGTATTTTTTTAAAAAATATCTTCCATGCTGAAATTCTAATCCAAAATCAAATAACTATAAAAGAAGTAGCACAAATTTTTATAATCCCTTCGTCTTGAAACTAACGTCTTACTTTCAAAAGTGTTGTCTCCAAACTAATGTCCACCTAAATTTGGCAATACCCTCTCAACCAAAATACTAATACTATTTATTCTTAGAGTCTTTCATTATCTATTTTTACTACTCATTTGATATAGTTATATAGTCCATAGTTTGTAAGGCGGCAAGGCGAGGCGCCAATGCACCTTCATATCGCCTAGGCGACGACTAGGCGACATACATACCTACATGTATATATATACTCCCTCTGTCCCAAAAAGATTTACACGTTCCAAAAAAATTGTGTCCCACAATCCCTTACCCATTTCTATTAAAAAACCACTTTTACCCTTTACTTTTTCAAACCCTACCTATCACATCATACCTTTTTCCTAATAATCTACACATCACATTCTACTTTTACCCATCACATCAGGGGTATTTTTGGAAAGTCAACACAAAATTATTCCTCCATTATTTTCAACTTTAGTCAAAATGGGTAACACCTTATGGGACGGAGGGAGTATGTGTGTGTGTGTGTGTGTGTATTTATATATGGGTCTTATACATTTTAAAGAAGCTTGATAGAGAAGACCGAGAGAGAAGATAAGTTTAAGTCTATTAGGCTACACTAAAAGAAATGAGCTGCACTAAAAAATGGGTTTTTTCAAAATTTTAAAGTGGCTCAAGGCATCAAGGCGAGGTAAGGTGAATTAAGGCGAGGAAAGGCGACGCCTAGGCGAGCGCCTGGTCGCCTTATGGTTTTCTAGGCGAGGCAAGCAGACAAGGCGTCCCAGTGATAGCGCCTTATTGCCTAGGCGACGCCTTACAAACTATGATATAGTCTTGTCACATCTTATGTTAAAATATGCAAATTTTATAAGAGTGTGCCCGCAAGCGATAGAGCTTTAATACAAAGATTAAGTTGTTGGGTCGGCCCAACGCACTTGCCCAGTCCATCTAGTTAGTATCGTATCCATGATGTCCTGGCTACAAGTCGGATGACCTCGCGGTCCTGTCCGACTACTACTAGTTAGCTCAAACGAGACCGAGCACGTACAGACCTTGTGCTGGACATGCCGAGTCGCTCCGTTGAATAACAAAGCATCATTCATTAATACACAAGTACACGACACACTGCAAATCAAACCCTGAAATAAAAACTGACAATGTAACCATATATTGAAAGTAACAAACCACCATGTGAAGCAAGCTGGTCTGATTTCATCTTAGATAACACACACACCACACTGGAATGACTGGAGGCAGGCCAGTAAAGGGCAAATATTCATATGATTAGCCCTCATATTATTCACTTTTAGTACAGGCTATTAACAAAGGTAACTAACAAAGAAGCCCATCCACCACCATCATCTAGTGGATCTTGTTGGCGAGATTGCATTGCTTTCGGATCTCCCCTTTGGTGCCCGTGAGGGGGTTGTTCTCGGAGAGAATGGTGATGGCTCTGGAGAACTCCTTGAAGAAGTAATCCTGGTTCTTGGCCATCTTCTTGACATAGGGCTTGGTCCTCTTGTCCTTGGCCAGTTGGTGGTCCACAAGCATGAGCCCTTTGTTTTCAAGGATGTTCCTGTAGTAGTTGTTGTCCAGTTTCATAGGGGTGCCCCTGTCATTCCTCACATACTGCACTGCCTTTGGGTCTGGGATTGGGTCTGGGCATTTCTTGAGCATGTGTGGGACATGATCCGGGTTCAGCTCCGGGTCCACCTCTGGGTATAATCTCTGCACCAGCTTCACACAGTGGGTTCTTCCCACACTGTGAGCTCCTGCGTTTGTTCATTTCATCAAACTCATCAAACCCATAAAGCTCAAGTGAAACATTAGTGTTGTGTTATGAGCGAACCTAGTAAAGCGACAACTCCGGGAGTGTTGATTCCGACTTTGGAAAACCTGTCGAGAACAACACTCATGCTTTCGTTGTGGTCGGGGAGATGTTGCTCCAGAATATCTGCCCGGCTCTTCCTCCCATCCCTTCTCCCTGTTTTCAGTGAGATGTATGGTCCTCCAAGCTACAAACCAAATCATATAATCAAGAAATTGGGAGTGGATTGAGCTTTTGGGAAACAATTTTCATTTACAAAAGGCAAGAATCTAAGACCATGTTGAAATTAAAACTGTTTAAGGGAAAGTAAAGGAGAATCACACACAGCAACAATGCCATCTCTGGCGGACAGGACAAGAATGTCGGCACAGGAAACAACACCGGGGCACTCCCTCTCCACAGCTTCTTTGATAGTCTCGATGTACCTGAAATTCCTCATCCCGAAGCTCCGGTCGGTCTCCTTCTCGGACAGAGACCGCCAGGTGGAGTCCAGCAGCAGAGAAGCATCACAAGACTGCAATTCAATCACATGAAACCCTAATCAAATCAGATCTGATCCCTAATCGATTTGTGTCCGGAAAGAAAGAAAGAAAGACCTGGACAAAGCAGTCGTGGAAGATGTTCCTGAGCCAAGAAAAGGCGGTGTTCTTGTGGCGCTTGTAGAGAAGCTTGACCTGCTCTCCGATGATGTCTTCGGCTTGGGGGCATGTGTCTCTGTAGTAGTTCAAGGCGAGCCCTGCTGCTGCCGGACGAGGATCGTCGTCTCTGTTGGTGGGCTGTTGATCTTCTGCAAACGCAGAGAGAGGTGATGGGGCTGCGAGGAGGAGGAGGAAGACGAAGAAGAAGGAGAGAGGTGTTCTTGTTGAACCCATTTTGGTCGGCGTAAATTTAGTACTCCGTAGTAAAGTAAAATGACAAGGAATGGTGTAACCGCCGAGCTGCTGTTTGTTGCTTGTATGAAAGTCGTACATAAAAAGCAAAAGACAGACATGAAGATGATGATGGTGGATGTTGTTCAGCGTTTTGAAAAGACTATCTACGATCAGCGTTTTCAAAATAATCTACACCGTTAAAATTTTATTCAAAACGCTAACGCTAATCTCTAATGCTATTTCCAAAGAGGCTCGTTGTCAATAAAGAATAGACCATTTACTTTGTCTTGTTTTCAGGGCCCCTTATTTTCATGATGAATGCTGGCCACAAGTGTCAAGTGGAGTAGAAATCAATTTTTCAATTACTCTCTTTCTCTTCCTTTTTTTAATTTTTCTAACTGGCTTTTCATAGTTTTAAATTTAATATTTTGATTACCAGTATCTTTTTTATAGATAGATATATATAATAAAAATGCACGGGTAATATGAAAAAGAAAAAATTCACACCATTACTCCTAAAATTACAAAAATTAATATAAATACTCTGAGATTTAATTAATGACTTCAATACTCCCAAATTTTTTATATTTTTACATCGCTGCTCTAAGAATTCATTTATGTTTATATTTATGCTCCAAATGTTGGGGCAACGATGTAAACATATTTAAATGTTGGAGTACTGATGTAAACATACAAAAATTCTGGGAGCATGAGTGTCATTTATTAAATCTCAGAGTATTTATATAAAATTATTCAATTTTTGGGAGTAATGCTGTGAATTTTTTCTATGAAAAAAGAAAGTTGAAGGAGTAGGCAAAGCGGACGACTCAGGACTGTTTTGAGAAGTAGGAAGACTCTCGAACTAAATCGGGTATCATGATGGCTTGTTCATGATACATATATTGATATACCTAGTACGGAGTATTATATAAGAGTATTGCTATATCAACTCCTTTTTTGGTAAATCCACTTCATTCTTAATAAATTGACATCTTTATCCTTAAAAGTTGGTTTACATCTGAACTCCTTTTGTATTGTTAACAGTAAAGTTGCCAATTCATCATAAACGGTTCGATTTATCCAAAATGAGAGTGGATTTAGCAATATCCTTATAAAAATTACAATGAAATTTAATTTCAATTTATCTCAAAGCAACAAACAGGAAGCTAAGGAGGTTATAAGTGAATACTTTGGGGAAAGTATTCACTCTATTCAATATTTAACATGCCATTAAAGTAAGATGGGAAATTGCTTGAGGAGAGGGAAATAGGCAGTACCCAAGAAAATCTATCAAATAAAGCCCATTACGTTTAAGCAAAAATAAACCAAACCCACATTACGATTTCACCAATCAATACATGCAAAGGTATTAATCATCTTGCTTGTGACAACATCATTAGGAAATATATGCAAATAGATAGCTTCAACAAAAAAAAAGAGTACAAGTAAAACAACATGTATTTCTCATGTTAACATATATAGTGAGCTGGATTCAAAGAATCCAAAAAGCCACAATCTTTGTTGTGAAAAAAAAAAAACTCTGCAAACAGAAAAACAGTATGGTTAAAATGCAATAATGCAGAACAAAGGCAGCCCAGAAGGCAAACCAGATAAATCACAACATCATATTTCAGAAAAAGTATAAGAAAACCAAAGGGGGGAAAAAAGAAGCCAAAGAATAACATCCACACCAGAGACAACCTAAATCCTCAGTTGTGTGCAACCAAGAATGGTACCCCGGCATAACGTCATGGGAGACACCTTGCGCCACACGGGTCGTTCACTCCCGAGTGTAAGAACATCCACATCCGACGTCGTTTCGATGTCCCAATTCAGCCTGTCGGGGCCCACGACCCCACCTATAATGTATATATCGTCTCCGAGTCCCACCATGGCAAACCCAATCCTCCTACGAAATTCGGATGCCGAAATCACAACCCGGTTGGACTCCTTTTCTTGTTGATAGATTAGGCTATTACTCATAACATAAAGCTTCCCCCTAACCACAGTCATGGGTCCTTGGACCCAGCCATAGTCATGAACTGACCACCCCTGTTTCACACTCTCCATAACATGCACCGTCGGCAACCCCTTGTGTAACACGTGGACCCTACCATCAATAACCACCCCGGTACAAGCAGTGTTATGGGTGCGGTGGAGGTCGGAAATGGACACCCAGATATTCCTCTCAGGATCATACATTTCAGCCTTAGATATCGACTTTCTGCAGCTGGTGAACCCTCCCGCAACCACAATCTTCCCATCTAAAACACAACATGCAAACATGGAGCGTGGGACCATCATCGGTGCACATAGGGCCCACTTCCATGTCACCGGGTCGTATGACCATACCTCGTCGGTCGCAAAGCTTCCATCTTGGTCGCCGGTCAGAGGGTCCACGGCATCACTGCCACCACCGAGAACAAACAGCTTTCCTGCCGTCGAGACGACGCCGAAATGTGCTAGCTGTCTTATGTTTGAGGGGAGGATGGGGAGTTTGATCCAAAGGTCGTGAATGGGGTCGTATAGCTGCCATTGGTTGTCAGGCTCAAATGCGCACACGCACAAAAACTCTTCGGGTGAGTTGACTTCCTGTCGGGCTTTGAATAGCTCCCGGCTTCTAAAGGCTTCCCGCCAGGAATGTGAAACAAGCTGCAATTTAGGATGAAGGCAGTATGGGACCCGTGCAAGACACCTTATGGCAACCGCATCTGGGAGGCCTTCAATGAGTACAGACATAACACTAACAATTGCAAATGTACTGCTCTCTTGACAGAACAGGTGGTCTTGAGCTTTGTGACCTGAATGGTTAAACATTAGCAAAAAAAAACAGAGTAAGCAAAAAACCCAGTACAAGAAAGATTGATCCATATTTAGTCTTCAAAGCCTATGTGTTAAGGGTGAATATGGCTGATATTACTGAAGTTGATGAAGTTGGTGAACTAAGAGAAAAAACATTTTAAAAACCCCGGAGTATGTTTTACTAAAAAATGAAAAAGAAAAGATTGAGAAGAATGCCAAAAGTTATCATCTTGAGCACCTTCAGCAACTTCAATTTCATCCCCAAAAAAGTATCCTCAGTTATGCTCTTTTTTTAATATTAACCAATTCAGTGTGCACAATCAAATGAATCAGTTGATACTACTCACTAGACAAAAATAGACAGCGCCAAATGGCCACTTAGTCATATACAAATGTATATTGTGCAATGCTTTAAAAATTTCTAGAATCCGCTTTGAGTGCATGAGGAGTTTTAGTGGATACTCGGGGATGGAATTGAGTGGAATCAGGCGGTGCAAAGGAAGGGATTTTTTGAAAATTGGTCAGGCATAATTCAACAAATACATCACCAAGATTTAGAAAAATCGATAAATCAACACACGTATACAAATACATTACTGCTTTAAAACCCTGTAAAATGAAAAGAAAAAACAATTGGATTAAGTTAAAGAAATATTTATTGGCTGGAAATAATAATTACACATAATGAATGACCCAATGTGTAAGACCATACTCCACATCACACAAAGCAAACGAGGTAAGAAGTTAGATTGTAACTGTAAATAAGCCTCTCTGTTGATCTGGAACATGCTAACATGTTCAAACTACTGCATTTGCAGAATTTCACAAGTCTAGATTGAAATGCAACTTGGTACAACAACAGAAAAAACAACAAAAAACTATTATGTACTTCATCATATGCCATGTATTATGAGAACTTGATTAAGTTAAATTTCACTAACATCTCCCATGAGCCATGAGATTCCAGTCCAAATGCAGCTAAAATTCCTATTTTATCTCCCAGTAAACAACCGGTGAGGATAGCAACTATTTCCAGTTTATGATGAAAGGAGCATATATAACTTCAGAAAGGTGACAATGCAACTGAATCACAAGCGAAGCATCTTAATGGATGGCATGTTCATGATACATATACCCAGTATTATAAAAATTACAATGAAATCTAATCGCAGTTTACCTCAAAGCAACAAAAGAAGATGCAGATTGGAAAAGAAAGAGACAGACAGGAAGCTATGGAGGTTATAATTGAATACTTTGAGGAAATTATTCGCTCTATACAATATTCAACATGACATTAAACTAAGAGGGGAAATTGCTTGAGGAGGGTGGAATAGGCAAACACAAATAAAAGACTGGCAGTTTTACTGATGATGATGATCCCCGCACAAAAGATAAGAATGAATCAACAGGCAACACAACACCCAAGAAAATCTATATAATAAAGCCATTACGATTAAGCAAAAACAACCAAACCCTCATCATGATTTCACCAATCAATTCAAGAAAACCCAAGGGACAACATAAATAAATCTAAATTCAAATTCCTACAACCGGATTCCGAGTGAAATACTCCGTAAACACCTAATCTGCGAAGCTCAAAATCTTAACCCAGAAACGACTCAAAAGGAGAGAAAGAAATGGGTTCAACATAGACTACGAAATGAAGTGTAATTTCAGCAGATTTGAGCCTATTTTTATAGAGAAATAGAATCATTTGCCTGTGAATCAACCAAACTCGAATGATTATACTCTTCAAGCATTCAAATGGCGCTAAAATGATCCCGAGATGCCTGGCAGTCACAGTATTCGTCTGGAATTGCGAACTTTTGGAAAAGTTGTTAAAGACTTTGCGTGCGTTTACACCCTAAGACGTGAGATCAGAAATTTACACGAACAGATGGCGATTTGGGCCAACTGCTCTATGCTTCCGAACGATTTCTTCACGAATCACTCGCCATTTATGGATTTCTTCTCATTTCCCAAAATCTGACCCGGCCCGATCCCGGATAGAGACTAGGACTGCAAAAAATTGATATTGAGTAGTTTCTTTTTTGAAAAAGAACTCCTATGTCCAAACATTTTAAAATATATACTCTCAGTTATATATTTAATGTCAAAAAACTAAATCTAGAGAGATTTTTCATTTGTCCCTCTCAGGTTCACTTGGGACTAGGGGTGTAAACGAAACGAATCGAAGCGAATACCGATATATTTGAATTTGTATTTGTTTAATTTTTTCGAATACGAATCTGAATTCGAATATGAGACGAATTCAAAATAAGATTTGAATAAGTATTTGATTAATATTCGAATAGTTATCGAATCATAAACGAATATTTGAATAATCATACTATGTAATTTATATGATGGATCAACATCAATTTGTAATTTAACTTACGATACTCTTTATACTATACTATATTCCGTATATAAAAATATTAATACATTTGCATCTTACACAAATTATATTTTATAAAATATAACGATTAAAAATCATATGCTTTAGATTTTCGTGTTACGTTAATTTATTGATTCTTAGTATTTTAAATACACTTTATACTATATTACTTTGCTTGACTCTTGATGTTGAAAACATGGTCTGTGTATATGAACATATATTCGAATATCATCTGAATCGAATATATCCCTATTTGTATTTGTATTTGATTAATATTCGAATCAAAAATAATATTTGAATTTGTATTTGAATAACGCGAATTCGAATCATCATATTCGAATACGAATCGCGAATCGAATTTAAAATATTTGATTTGTTTACATCCCTAGTTGGGTGTTAGGCGTGTCGTAGCACCTACAAATTAATTAATTATTTTCCTTAACTTAAATCCCCATTTATGAATTAATATTAGTTAAAACATATAGATAGGGCAAGTAAGGGTCGATCCCACGGGGAAAGATACTTTTTAGCCTATGAAAATCAGTTTTCTTGTCACTTTTATTGAATAAAAACTAACTAATATCTAAAAACTAAAACTAAAGGATATGGGGGGTTTGAATGATAATTCTAAAAAAGATAAAAACATGCAAATAAAATAAAGATAAAGGATAACAAATAAAAGATAGAACCACAACAGCAACTCGAACTCAAAAGACACTCAAGGAGGAACAAACACACAAACAAACACACATTTAAACTTTATAAAACGTAGACAATAATAATTAACTTAAACCATTTTGAAAATACTCATAGTTTTTAATAGAAAATAAACTGAACAAATCTGATTAATTAATTAATTATGTCTTGATTCTGAAATTAAACCGCTAATTAAACTCAAGGTTAGGCTGAAGAAGAGGTCTACCAACGGTTCTTCCCTATTCTCCCATTCATATTAGCTCATGTTAAGACCAACCCTAACTCTAAACCCTACTACCCTTAGCAACCCAAAGACCAACCCTTAAGTTACTACTAAAAATAGCGCATTAAAATCTTTAGAAAACATCACCATAACAATCTTGCAGTAACACTACAGTTATTTAACAAAATCAGTTCGAGAACCTTGATTAGCAAAAACCACTTAACGAGGCAGCCAAGACTAATCAAGTGACACTTAGTTTCTAGAAAAGTTCGGCTATTTAAAGCACTTTGGACTTTAAAAGAATATCATTTTAAACTGGATTAGGCGCGCGTTCCTAATTTGGTCCAATTTAAGTAAAATCTGGTGAATAATAGTTCTCAGAACACCTTTTCGAGTTTAGATTTAACAGTAGCATAGAGCTAAAATCTCTTCAAAGTCAAATTAATTCAACAAACAAAGATTCAATCTTTTTGTCAAACAATCCGGCCTAAGAAGGTTTTATAATTTCAGAGACAATAATAAATCAATAAATCATATTTGAACAATTCAACATCAACACACAACCAAATCAACACTTATAATATAACTTAAACATTCAANAACATTCAATACAAAAACAAGATTTGAAAATAACATACTTAATATTGGATATCAAATTCATCAATTTTGAAATTAAACAAATTCAAAATCCTAGTTCAGAGAAAATAAAAGTTGAAAGTAAAAGAAATGTTCCCTGGAAGTGTCTTCTTCGCACGATGCACAAAGCCGAGACCAGATGCCGACCTTGAGCCGCCCGTCATTACCGTCATCGGAATCCATGGCTGCGGCCGGAATGGTTGCCGTCGAACTGCCGGAGTTGTCATCGCCGACCTAGGGTCGGAACCTTAGGCCGGCACTTCTCTATTCACGATCTCCCTCCCTCCCTGTTTCCTATCCGTCTCCATCCTTTTATAACTGAAATTGAAGTCATTGAATTACTGAAGAAGTCTGTGTGCGATCCATTTCTTTGGCCATGTTTGCTCCTTCACGTTTCCTTCTTTTTCTTTTCTTTCTTTTATTTTGTTTTGATATTTCATACATATAATGAATGCTTTGGTCAACATGAATGGATTTCACTGCTCCGTATTAATTGGGCCAACTTTGATTTTGGCCCAATCACTTCTTCCTTTCTTTAATTTGACTCCAATCTCCAAAGGTCTGGCTCTTTATTTCCTTCAACTTTTGATGTTTTAAAATCTAAAGAATTATGTCAAGAAAAATAATACTTCCAAAATAATTATCAAATAATAGAAATGCTCAAAATCATGCATTTTATGTATAAAATGTAACCAGTGGCCTAAAATGCTAAATAGAACAAAATATGATTATTTAGGAATAAACTGCCTATAAAATGTCTTAAAAGTCCTAAGAAATGAAGGAATAAAAAGGACTTTTTGTGACTTAACATTGGGACATTATATTTTCATTATCTCCCTCCCAAAAATTACGACTACATATCCTTAATTTTGTAAAAAAAAACTTTCAGATCCCATTTTTAAAAAAATATACTTCGAAGTACCCCAAAGTATCCAAAAACTTATTCAGGAAGGAATTTCGATTTTTCCTTATTATTACTATTATTTTTATTATTACTTTTATTATTATTACTATTATTATATTTAATACTACTATTGTTATTATACTATTATTATTATTACTCACTTAGTCATTGTCTTCTGTAGTTGTTGCGTGATGAGTGGCATTGAGTTGTTGCACGCACTATAAAAATAATAATAATAATAATAATAATTGTAATAATATTAATATTAATAATATTAACATTAATAATTAAAGAGGGAAAAATAAAAGTTCGTCCAAAGTAAGTTTTTGGATAATTAAATTACTTTAAAAACGAAGGGACCAAGAAATATTTTAAAATATCAAAAATATCCAAAAAAAATTAAAGTATACATTGTTAACACTAAAATATCCAAAAACTTACTCTGAAGAGACTATTTTTTCCTTCTTGTATTAATAATAGTATTACTATTATCAGTATTATTATAATTATTACTACTGCTATTATTATTATTATTAAAATACGTACAGCGACAATCCAGCGCGACCCAATAGGAAACAATGGTGGCTAGTAACTACCCAGTGATAATTAAGGAAAACAATGGCAAATTAAAGTGGGTCATAATAACAATAATAACAACAATAATAATGATGATAATAATCTACCTATTTACAGAAGTAAAAAGAAAAAGTTACTGCCTAATAAAGTTTGGACGGTTGTTGCGGCCTCGATATAATGCCTAGTAATTAATATTTAACGGTTCTTGGGATGTTTCAGCAGTTGAAACACCTCCAAAAAATTTCTTGTTAAATATAGAGAGTATTTGTTCTCAAGATGTTCCTGGGTCCGGCAATGTGCGTCGACAGTGGGAGTCGGTAGGGGCTGAGGACGAGTCAGATATAGATTTAAGCCGTGACTGATGTGTTGGAGCTCCGGGGAGCTTCAACGAGCCTTCAGTTGTCTATTGAGAGAGCCGCTGCAGGAGGAAAGCTGAGGAAGATTAGTAGATGTACGAGAGTTTGTATGAGATGGTAGTTGATGGTTATCAAGTCTCTAAGTGGAGATTGTTGGGCTTATGGAGGGTAGCCCGTTTTTCTATTTCTTGGAGAACAAGTTTCGTAGCCCTATATTTCTCCCTATATATTGAGCCATTATACTTGTAACCTGTGTGACATAAAATTGAATAATTTTTCTCCTGTTGCAGCCGTAGATTAGGGACACCAAACCATGTTAAATTCGTGTGTGTCATTTTGTGTTATGTTCTTTCGATTCTCGTGGATTTTGTGTGCGTGTGTTGTGTGTTTAATTCTCAACACATTCATAGCGTCATTGCTTATTGATTCTTCGATGATTGCTTTTTTTATCATTGTGAAGTCGATTTCATTTGAATATTTGCTACTACCACCAAGATCCGCATCGATTGTCACAAGCGGTAAATGCAAGCATTGATCTAACACATATTCTGACTTAGAGACACTCGGTCATAAATCCAACGCATGGTAGCTTCTCACCATAGGATTTTCAACTCGTCGCGAGAGCAACTAAATCAATCCGCCAGCAACCAAAGGATTCAAGACTGTGAGTTTGTGACCCCCGTGCCTAACCCTGAGAGTCAATCCTTTTTCCCAACGGTGCTTTGGTGACCGATGACGATGCTCCGATGGTAATGTGGTGGTGCTCCAGCGGTAGTGTTGCATTGTGCAATGTGGATCGGATAATGAACTCCTTTTTAGATATTAAAAATAATATTAATTTTATTTTGGTATTTTCATAATTTTTATTTCTATTTAAGTACTGCTCTAAAAAACGAAACTAGTGTGATGAGAGATGTTTTGAGTAAATTGGCAGCTGGATGGTCATGAATTCAAACTTTATAGTAACTTATTTTTTATAGAATAATGTTAAAAGTTCAGCATAGGTGTTTCCACAGTCACAAATGATAATTACATATGATTTTGTTATTGTTGCTATACAGACGATGATGATATATGTGAATAGGCGATGATGGACAAGAATTTCACCAGAAGACCTGAACCGGGCGTCGGGTCAGATTATTATTAGATATTAAAGCTTGACAGTACAATATAATGTAGCTCGCTAAGTTTTTCTTCGTCGTCTTCTTCCACCGCTAAATACTTAGCCTTCACCAATATCTCTTAATGCGGGGAGTGGATTCCTCCGCGGCTCCTTGTGCGCACCCCCGGGGGAGTGCTCCTTAAAGCATTGCGACGAGGGCTTGATCGTCCGCCCTCTGGACGTCTGTAGCCTCCTCCCAGTGGGATATGAAGTCCCAGAGTTGTTCCCCCTTGCGTATTTTGACGTTGAGTAAGTGAGAGTAGGGAAGTTTCTGTCGTTTGCTCGCTGCAAAGTGCTCGAGGAATTTGTTGAACAAGCCCTTCCATCGATGGATTGATCCCTCAGGTAGTTTGTAAAACCATTCACAGGCTTGGCTCTCCAACTTTGCTAGGAAGCAGCGACAAATGATTTCTTCAGGGTAGGCCAACATAACCACGTTAGCCCGGAACCGTGATAAGTGATCTTGGGGACCGGTCGTCCCATTATATGCCTTCACCTGGACGCCTTGAAATTCTCCGGGAGAGGACACGACATCACCCTTTTTGAAAAGGGGGTCACCACATCTAGGACCACCTGATAATATGGGTTCTGGCATCCACTTTTTTCTCAATTCCCGGATTGTCTTCCATAGGTGGCCTACCTCCTTATTGTTGATCGTCCTCATCTTCTCTTGCGACTGGACCGGTAGGGTACTGATGATTCCTCCCTCCGCTCCTTGAGCTTCTCCTGCAGACGATTATCGTTTGCGCAAGTATAAAATTATATGCAGTTGCCATCCAGGAAAATCATCACAATGAGTTACATGATCTATTTTTATAAGGTAAAGTTATTGTACAAAGTTCAACAAAAACACCATTTCACCCGAATGCCGAATTGAAAGTTTATCAACCAAAATAAGGAGTATTTTTTGCAAGAAAAATGCTAGGGTGCCACCACATGGGTGCACCCATGGTAACACCCATGCGGTGGGATCTTAGGCATGGTCCTTTTTGCAATGTATGACGTAGGTGAATCAAATCTCAAAATCTTATCCACAAACCTAATCTTCTTCTTCTGCAGTAGTGTGATTAGGTATCCAGTATCCTCCCCACCTATCGCGCCCAATCCCATTTCCGCAATGCTTCTCTCCTCAGCCCCATCTCCTTCCTCCTCCCTCTCCTTCTCCTCCTCTCTCGCCCCTCTCCATCTCCATCCCCGCAATGCGTCCTCTCTCCCCTCCTCCTCGCCCCGGCCGCCGCCGATCCGATGCGATCTCCGCGAGCTTCGAGACCGCATTGCCTCCGCGAAGAACACCGGGAAGATCACCGAGGCGATGAAGCTCGTGGCCGCCGCTAAGGTCAGGAGAGCTCAGGAAGCCGTGGTCAACGGCCGCCCTTTCTCCGACGCCCTCGTCGAGGTTCTCTATAACATCAACGAGAAACTCCAGCAGTCCGACGTCGCCGACGACATCCCTCTCACCCGGGTCAGGTATCTGAAAGGAATTACATTCGCTCCGTAGTGTGTTATTGCTCGGTATTAGTTGAATTGAATTTCTGTGCATCTTTAGGCCGGTGAAGAAGGTTGCTCTGGTGGTCGTCACCGGCGACCGTGGCCTCTGCGGCGCATTCAACAATAACCTAATTAAGAAAGCGGTGGCCCGGATTGCAGATCTGAAGGATCTAGGGATCGATTACACCGTGGTTAGCGTGGGGAAGAAGGGGAATTCCTATTTCTCCCGGAGGCCACACATCCCGGTGGACAGATTCCTGGACGGATCGGCACTCCCGAGTGCCAAAGACGCTCAGGCGGTTGCCGACGACGTCTGCTCGCTGTTCGTGAGCGAGAAGGTGGACAAGGTGGAGCTGCTGTACACGAAATTCGTGTCCCTGGTGAAATCCGAGCCGGTAATTCACACGTTGCTCCCCCTGTCGCCGATGGGGGAGGTGTGCGACATAAACGGCAAGTGCGTGGACGCGGCGGAGGACGAGTTTTTCAGGCTGACGACCAGGGAAGGGAAACTGACGGTGGAGAGAGAGGTGAGGAGGAGGGAGACGGCGGATCTGTCGCCGATGATGGTGTTCGAGCAGGACCCGATAGAGATACTGGATGCTTTGCTGCCGCTGTATTTGAACAGCCAGATTCTGCGAGCTCTGCAGGAATCGGTGGCCAGCGAGTTGGCGGCCAGGATGGCGGCGATGGGCAATGCCACAGACAATGCGAATGAGTTGAAGAAGACGCTCAGTAACTCTTACAACAGAGAGCGTCAGGCGAAGATCACCGGAGAAATTCTGGAGATTCTTGCCGGTTCCAATTTCTAGTAGCTCCGATGAAATGGAGAATTTATTATCATGGGAGGTGGGAAACTGCTAAACCCCCACAGAAAATTATGTCCTCTCCCACAGTCTCCCGCGGAACGCAACTGCAGATTTATGATGAAATTTCATTCTTTCTTTAGTGTTATAAATCTCAGAGAAAATGTATCTAATATAATTACGGAGTATGTTTCAAAATGAAATTCAGTTATTTCTGTTTCAAATTAAGCTTCACTCTGGTCAATAAAAAATTTCATATATTTCTCATTATTCCTAAAAATGTACTGTATTTTAAATCTTCTACACAAACTTTGATGAAGAATCATGGTTGGATTTATGAGCTTTAGCCCATGTTCACTTTCATTTTTTATTTATTTTTATTGGAATTAGATTAAAAATAATTTTAAATATAATTATATTTAGAATAGATCATATTAATTTATTCCAATCAGATCATGTGAAAGAACATTACCTTAGTTGATTCTTTGATGGGGGATACACACTTCTTAGACCATGAGCTATGAGAGGTGATAGTGTAAATTACTTGACCGGTCAAACTATACTAAACCGGGTCTAGAATGGTTTGCTGGATTTGGCAAAGTAAGAAAGGTAAAAGCACGCAGATTGACCGGTAGGACTTTAGGTGGAACACTTGTAGCCCGATTTATATTATAACGGAGTATGCACGGGTGCTTTTACAAGGGAGTTTAGAGAGAATGAATTCGGATCCCTCTTTCTGAGGTTTACATGAGTATTTATACTAGGCTAAGGGGACAGGACCACGTGCGCCCACGTGGAGGCACGTGTCTCGGATGTTGAGAGGTGATGGGCCTCGTCTCTTAGCTACCTTGTCGCCTTGTGAGGGGGATTATTCCCTTTGT